ACTACGCTACACGGTTAGTACATTAGTAGCGAATGATCTACTTCGCTGTCCTCATGCAATAATATTATTATTGCGGATCACCACGTTCGCAGATTATGGAACTAACTTGCAGTGTTGCATGAGGAATGTACGCTACTAATGTACTAACCATGTAGCGCAGTGCTACATTTCGCGGTGGAAGTGAGGTGAGCTTACCTTTTTAATTTCGGGCATTTTTCGTGCATTCCTGATAGACGTCAGAAACGCTGGAGCGGAGGAGGCGCTTGATGGGGTAGTGTGCAATCGAAAAGTTTTAAACCATTTTCAGGCCTTTGAAAACGACGTCCATCGAAACGTTGGCCAGAATAAAAGTTTCCGCCTAAGAACCTCGAGGCAGAAGCAAAATTAACAACTTCAAGAACAACAGAAATGCCGAGCTTTCAAGATCAGAGGACTTGGAATTTGTATGCAATTTTCCATCCGAACATTATTGATCAAATAAAGATAACGGATGATATTTCTAGTGCAGCAATTCCTATCAGAGATCGTGATGAGCGATGTGCACAATGAGAAAGTTTCTGATGAGAGCTACCCTTCCCTGTATTCACCATACATTCGCAATACATTGACACACCTTCCGCGGAATATTACTCATAGAAGCCGACACCCCTGTTTGCTTTATTGTGCTCAGTCGCTACCTTGATCTTGCTGTTTTAATGACATATCTAGCTCCTGATATAGGTATTCTCAACCACAAAAATCCTCTGTTCTAACACAATTTATTTAGGGACTTCAATAAATTATTCTATTCGAATTTGAAAGATAGTCAGCAGGAATCACCTTCATCGCCTGTTAATTGTCAACTTAGCCAAGCAAGCGCCAGCAGAGTCTCTTTCGTCCCTGTTGCGTAACGAAGTATTCCAGTGGGTCTTCTTATGCCCAAGAGAATCAAGACACCCTATTTCCTTCGCTCAGATCTTCCGTGCACAAGCCTGACCATGCGCTGATCGTCGTCCTGGTGTTCACTGTAAACCCTTTGGGATCCTGTCAGTAATCCTTGGTCCAACAGTCACCACAAATCGCAGAGTGTCCGGTCCATCTGATCTTTGATTCTTCGGCGTAAGCAACAAGCTTGAAGCTCCTGATTTCCCTCTGTGCTTGGGTGTATCCGAAAATCCGAGAAGAGTAGGGACACCTTGGTTCTCCAAACCTTAGAATGCCGCTTCTGTCTCGATGTATAAAAAGCCTCCTTCAAGTTGATGAACTTAATTCATAAGAGCATCTTGTACTTTCACGACACTTCTAGGAGTCTCACGATAATGTGTACGATCGATGTTACTGAACCCGACCTGCAGAGACATTTTTGCCTTCATGGCTGTTCCTTATTCAGTATCTGACATTGCTGCTGATGATAAGTCAACTGAAGAGTTTGTTAATTACGGATAGCAATAGTTGTCAATGTACTTTTTACAGCAAAACAGTCTTGCACTCCACAACGATGGTGTTTTGCTTCTGAAAGAAGGAACTAAGAGCTTTTTCTTATAATATATAAAAGACGAGTCAGGGCCTCAACTGCTATTTCGCAGCTGTACGTGATGCAAAAATCTCGAAGGAAAGTACGGATTCGAGTCTCCTCCGAGGCCGAAATTTTGCATACAAATCGTCAACCTTGCAAGTTTTCAGATGAAGGATAAAGGATAAAGGGTGTCGAACAATCCCGTCTGATGGATGCGCCCGCGCATTCGATTTTCAATCAGAATTGTAGTGGCGTAGTAACAGTGTATGTGACCTACACAATGAATTAAGATGGTTAGCCGGTGTACAAGACAGTGCTTTTATCCTCCCAGACTCGTCTGGTCTCAACCAATCAACCGGCTCCGGAGCGATAGAAGGCTTGGTTGGCTCGAGCGCATATCGACCCGCGGTTTGAACCTGTGACCATACGTGCATGATAGTGCGCCTCTTGCCTCTACAACACCTCCGCCCAAGCTCTTCAGGTATTTTGATTTAAGCTTTACCCACTGTCACCTTCACCCTCAATCGAATTCACAAAAATAGCTGAAAATAATACTGTGGATAATAAGTGAATAAGGATTGGCCCCTGAAAGCGTTAGCGCAATATTCACGACATAACGTTCCCAATATTGATATGACATAACCGTAGTGGCTTCATGAAAGCGTATGTAACTTATTCATCAAACTTCCGTGGCCACTTAACCAAAAGTCCTTTAGCTTTAGATTTCTATGAAGCCCTCTCGGAGTTGGTCTGGTTTACTATCGATCCAAAGTGATGTGTCTTCCGCTTATTAGGACTCTTTGGCCCAAAATGTGCGCGATATTTCGATCAATTTTAGGGGCGTGCGCAGCACTTTGTACGATTTTCTATGTCCTCGTCAGTGGCCTCCCAATAGATAACAGTAGTTCAAGTGAAATTGAACTCACCCATACGGTAACTACTCGAACAATATTTTTGTACCGATTCACCATTGTCTTACGGGTGTGCTGTGCTACAGTGCGATCAGCAAAAAAACCCGCGCCTTGTCTCCACGCAAGGACCTGCAACAACACAAATGAAGGCATACGGCCACTGAAGTCTCATTTTGAAGCCCATAGACAAACTTTTCTAGCGCTACTGCTTTCATGATTTATCATTAGCTAAGAGATACTGTAGGGGATCGATTTGAGGGTCAAGAGGCACCAACGTGTCAAAAAATAACAAAATTCTGGCGAAATATTGTTGTGTCTCCCTGCCTTGGCAGCCCCTTATCTAGGGTCCTAGAAAGACCAGCTGGGACCGCCGTGCGCGATGACCAGGATGGCGCCTCTCGGCCCAGGCTATTATTGGTATGTTACCTCTTTGCTGTTGAACGTAGCTTTGGTGTTGGAAACAAGGTCGATCACGGCCACGTCGTAGTTCTTCCTATGACCGAACCGATCAAATTCGATGGTACCGGTGAGCGTTCCCTGTTTCGAGTCAATGGACATCTGAAAGCCAATGTTTAAATGGCGCCAGTGTGTTGAACAGAAGCGTATCGAAAGACCTACTCCTCTCAATGCTTTTGTTACAGTTCTCCCATGTTCGAATGAGGCAAATGGTCTGGACGGATGCGTTCTGTCGGACAAGGGATCGCAGTATATTCCTAGAGCAAATGCTCTGAAGAGTGATTGCTTGCAGCTAGGAGAAGAGAATGCATACCTGGATATCCTCTGTTGAAAAATCGTCCATGCCGGAATGTTCCATGGAACAGCGAATCGTTGGTGGAAAGGCATTTGGAAAAGCCGGAAAAGGCAACCAGCATCGCATCGTAGGCCAGCGCGCCTCTGCTCTTCAATGAATACCTTTTAATAATCAAACGATTTCAGGCGGCAATTCTATTGGCTTACATCAACATCGTCGTAGTTGTTAATGAAGTTGTCGTCCAGCTTTTTCAAATGTTTCTTCAAATTCCAATAGGCACGACTTTCCTTATTAATCAGCTGGAAGCCGCTTATGTTGATGTTCCCGTTTTGGAACATTTCCACGTCATACGGTAAGAAATCCTGGCAATCAAGAAGAATCAGCTAACAGCCTCGTCAAATCCCAACAGAGGCAAAACTGGAAACTTGGAACTTTGGAAACTTATTGTTATACCTATACTAGAAAATAGCCGACACTAGAGGTACATCTGACTATGTAAGCGATACAACAATGATTAAGACTGTCAATGGTCTTACAAAATTGGCAATGACGTAATGATAAGTGGCTTGACTGAATTGCGCCGTGCGTACAGCAGCGAGGAATTTTTGTTGCCGAGAAGACGACGTAGTGTCGATCAGAATCCTGCAGAAAGTCTTGATAACTAATGAAACGGGCAGCAGGTAGCGTACCTGTTGGTGTGATTTGATCGCCGGAGGTTGAAATTTCTGAGGAAATCACTGAACTTGGCGGGGTCTCTGNTTGACTGAATTGCGCCGTGCGTACAGCAGCGAGGAATTTTTGTTGCCGAGAAGACGACGTAGTGTCGATCAGAATCCTGCAGAAAGACTAGATTGACGAATAAAACGGTTATCTCGTTCATTAGCATACCTGTTGGTGTGATTTGATCGCCGGAGGTTGAAATTTCTGAGGAAATCACTGAACTTGGCGGGATCTCTGGGCAGTTCCAACAGTTGAGCTTTCGTAGATGCGTTCGATTTCCGATGTAGGTGATGCCATAACCAGGGCAGTGAAACACCAGCTTAAAACAAAGCTGTTTTCCTCCCAAATCTCTAAGGAATTACAATATCACTGCCATAATGGTATCGGGACATATAGGTCACAAAATTCGATTTTTCGCTTCACAACGATCCGTGTAGGTCATGTCAGCACCTACTTTGGATGGAGCGCAAGCAAAGTTGTTCACAGAATGCATGAATAAGGGGAGGCCTACTGATGTGGGCATTGAAAAGTTGCTGCTCGAGTAAAGTGTCCGGTGTTTTGTCTAAAAGTAACTAAAGAACAGTGAGGTGTGGATCAGGGCCAATTGGTTAGAGACCGTCATTAGCTAAACGTTCCCGCAGAGATGTGACAATACTTCTAGTCGGACAAGATTGCCATAGAAAATGACTGCCTTTGGTCCTACCTGAAAAGGGAAAACATATTGGAGATGAGAGATGTCCTACATAAACCGAGCATTGCTCAAATGAGCAGAGGCAAAGCGCTTATTAGCCAAGAACCGCGGTACGTCAACGGCGGATGCAGCTGTGAAAATGAAAACTTCACGAACTCGTAGGCCGATAATTTTTACTGATCGAAGTATTCCCATTTCTGCAGAAGGCTTCGAATGGTTCCAGAAGACATTTTGAAGGGAATGAGACACAGAAGTTGGAACTTCTTAGTCAGTCTAAATTGGCGGCATTCATTCAAGCGTTCTATAGACAAACTAGGTGGCCCCCTCTTCTCGAAGAAGCAAAAAGCATCCTGCACGAGTTAAAAACATACATTCCCTCTCCACCTATTCCGAGAAATCCTACTGTTAATCCTACTATTTAAAGATGAGAAATGTTCTAATGTCGAAATCAAACGAAATGTCTTTCTACTTGACGCGGCCTCATTCCAACTATCATTTGATTCGACTTCAATGTGATTGATGAGGATCAAAAATGGCCATCTTCTAAAAATGGATAAGCTATAAACTAGTTTGTGGACGCTTCATTTGTTCCTTAAGAAATATGTAAATGCTCAGCTGGATACATTCTGTTTCTCGTATGCTAAGAAAGAATGAAGGTTTTCACGTACAATGTTCTCCGTCCGTCAACAAAATGATCTCACGCCATTCCTTGTGAATAACGAAATCGGCGAGAAGTTCAGCTGGAGACGGTCGTACTGACACTTCGAAACTGAAAACGTCACTCTGGTAACTTCAATTTCGGAATAAAAGAAATAGAACCTGGCGATCTGGAGATAAAGAACAAAAATTGTAGAATCATTGCTCACAAATTGGGAGGGTCTTGAGGATAAAGTGGTGCAGTGAGCGATATCAGTGGCATTTCAAGAGTGTCAGCGAGGCCTCTCATGGCTTCATTACCACGTCCACTGTCGATGCTGATCAGCGTCATTCCACCTTCCTTCAACTCTCGACATACTGCAAGAGAAGTAGTAGTATCGCTGGTTTTAATGATCAAACTCTTCTTATCAAATCAGAGGGTAGAGCGTGCGGTACAGAAAGCTAAAAAGTTTTCGTCAAAAATGGGAATAATTTTTTCTTAGTTGTGACAATATCAGTCCCTCAGACAGCGGTTCAGGACTGATGTCCTCAAATGTATTATTTCCATTCACTCTTCTTTTCACCACTGAGAAATTTTGGCGGAAATGTGGTGCAGTTGCAAGGTACGCATCATTACACACGCAAAAGTCAAAGATTGATTCTCCATGGATATTTGCCCATGACAGCCAAGCCTTCTAACCATTCCGAAACTTGTCTAGAGGTTGTCACACAAATCCATTGTTCAGGTCACATACGCATTAAATACCCCACTATGATCCTGAATAGAAGACGAATGCAATGACGCATCCGGAAACAGGTTTAACTAACGCCAGAAACTATGGGTTTCAAACTGTCCTATTTCGTCATGGTCACTTCGGTCAGCTCGCACGTTCTCTCACATTTAATGGGATCGTGTTCTGTGTTCTGCTCTTATTCGTGTGCTGTTCGGATACTACATATTTCCTATTTACACGCAGCACTCTCATCTCCTTGAGTAGAAGTAGTCCTCGTCTGATGAAAATGTGTGTGGTTTAAAAAAAAGGACTGAATGTGTTGTGGAATATAAGCATGGGAGCACAGCCGAGAGGCCACTACTATTAGGTTGATGCAAAATTATTACGGATTTTTTTCAGCAAACTTTCCTTAGAGAAACGATAGAAATACTCAGCAGAAACATGTTCAAATAATTACTATGGAACATATTCACCATCTACGCTAAGCATTGCTTCCCATTTGTTAGGCGGTTGGATTCCACAGGCGAAGGAATTCCGATCCTTGGAGGCGACCACGCCTTGACGTTGGCCATCAAGCCATCCACTTCATCGAAAGTTCTGTTCGTTAGTCAAGTTTTCGATGGGCAATTGACGTGATAATCCATAGGCGTTTCTGTTGGTGGATAGGGCGAACGCAGAAGCAGACTCCATTCCCTGTTCAGCTTTGGCTGACTGATCCATTGCCAAGGAGTTTGTTGAGATCACGTCATGACTTTCCAGCTTCCATCCTTTCTCGAAGTAATGGGGCATAATGCGGGGTATATGAAGATGACTTTCTGGACATATTTCTGTTAAGGAAAGAAAGAAGGAAATTTCTGTTAAATCCCGAATCCAATATTCGAATTATATCGAGAGAAAAGAAGCCGCGAAAAAATCCGCAATAATCANGCATCAGCCTATTACATTCACAAGGTTTGAACTGAATTATTGGTTCGTATCAGAGTTGCGCGAGTGGTTAGAAGACATGATTCGGACGGATGATCTAGCAAGCTACTTATTGGGTTAATAAATACACATTATGTTTGGATAAAGATAAGATGCATGGGTGCAAAACCTTTAAATAATCAGAGCTAGAAAACTCATCCTCAGCTTTGAAAATTTTTGGGAAAGCTTTTATAGGCTTTATTTATATGCATTTATAGCACATAAATAAAGTTTATAAATGTGTTTACATATCTTTGAAAGTAATATTTCTTTGCTGTGCAAAGTTTCTTGTAATTACGCCGAGGATAAGATAACGGAGAAGTCGCGTCAGCGAGGAGGTGGTGAGTGGCAAATGGCCCACTATCACACACGCATACTCACGGGTTCGAAGGTTTTTCAGTTTTTCCATGGCGAAGGTATTAATTGAGGTTTTTTTACATTTTAAAGATGTAAAATGCATTCTTTAGAGCAATATCACCCATCAAGAAGGGTGCTGAAAGTTTTTAAAAGAGATACTTCGCTTGCCTGTCCTGCGTTTGAAAAATTAGTGGAACAAACATTCCCGGTTAGATTTTACTGCGCAGTTACCATGTTTATGCCAAAATACCTCCAGTAAAGCAACATTTAGGCCTATGTAAGGAGTGGATGCAAATTTTATTCTGCGACAACGTTAGTGCACTCGCTTTGGAGTGGAGAACTTGAACTCATAACATCATAGTTGTGAATTTGTTTCTGAAAGTAGCTCGGATTTTCAAAGATGATGACAGAAAAGAGGCTCCCTCAAGTTTGACGCCAAATAACATCCTTACCACATACAGAACGCTTCGAAAAAAAATTCTTCAAGAAGAGCCTAGAAAATGAGGGTTACTTGTAAGATGGTTAGTGCAGAAACTAAAATAACCAGACCACAAAAAAATCAAGCGAAGTTCTGTCCGCAGGGAGTACCAACAAAACTTCAAAACTTGGCTTCGAAGCAGCTCGGACATGAGGAGAAATGGGCAACGGTGAACGGTGGGTGAGCAAGTTGGGTCAAAGAGCCTCCTTACCCGCAATAGGGTTGGTGCTTCTTAGATGAGGGAGGAAGAGGGGTGGGGCTTCATACTCTATAGATTAGAATCTAGGGGACAGCCGATGACCATATAAAATTGTAGAAATGGGATAGAGCTAACTGAGGATATGTCGAAATGTCTGTCTAAATCATAAGAAGAATTTGGACGATGATTACCACAAAAATTCGGACCCATTCCAAAGCATTCTGGGGTTTGGGAATAATGTGGATGTGACTTAGCGAAGGAAGGCATTTCAATTCATTCAGTAGGCGAGATTACATACAGAGTTTAAGGGGGGGGGGGGGGGGGGAGCTGAAATAACAGAGGCAGAACTAAGTTTAGAAACGTCTTTGAATACCGGAAAAAAGAGAACTAACAATAATAGAAGGGAGGGAAGTAAAGGAAAGGAATGGGTGTTAGATACGTAAGCGAGGTATGCACCAAGAACTATGGAGCCAGAGACTGAATTTCATAATATGTTTTTGGAGCACCTTACGGTTGGGAAAACATCGATAGCGTCGCAACAAGAATAAATGGCTCAGAAATAGTGAAAAATGGGGGCAAAATTTCATGCAGAAATTCAAAAAAAGGAAAGCCTCAAGGTGGACAGAGTCTGCGCAAAAAAAGGGGTGACTATTCAGTCTAGGATTAGCTGGGTATTTTAGAAATGTTTGGGTGGCAAAATTTGAACAAAATTCCCACGGTCGTAGGCACGCACGCGGCAGCGATTTTACGGCAATTACCGCAGCTATTTACCAAGAATTTAAGTTCTACCCTTGCACTGGACCCGTGGCAAGTCCGCCAAGCGCGGTACGTCGTTCAGGCGGAGCAGACCCACCCAAACTATTTTTAATTTATTATAAGTGATATGAAGGAAAGTTGAAATACAACAGAACCAATTCACAGATTAGCAATTGTGACTGTTCGTTGAATGTCACGGACGCATCAGATTGCTATAGTCCTATTAAAGAGGTGCAAATGGATTGGAATTGGATTGCAAAAAAAGTGTTGAAGAAAGAATCAGTAGAATATCTAGCTGTGATGCGACATTAACAAGTGAACGCTTTACCAGTAATTCACTAGGTATTTTTCACATACATTTGCGGGACAATTCCCTCGAACCCCGGGACCAAGAGCCATTCAAGGTACAGAGTGAGCGTTTTCAGAGTATTCTCATGTCTGTTTTCCAAATTTACAGAACCATGCTAGTAACAAAAAACTGAGTTGCCCTCAGGTGAAGGCTACAGAGCCTAGGAGTCGGACAGAAGGAATGTTTATGTAGTTTGGCTTTCAGTGGCATTTTCGACGAATTGTAAATTTTGCGCTCTATAGGTGTGAAATTACGGAATTTTGTGGAAATTTCGTTTTTCTCTTGGGGAAGTTAGCAAATCTTTTCACAAAGTCGCCCTTGATATTTTTAGGTTTTATTGTTTGTATACCGGCTTGATACCAGCCTGGACCAATCAAGTCTTCCACCTCCACGGGCCGGTACGATGGGTATTGGTTTTAAGTTTTCTTATGTAATAGAAGCACGGGCCTATGCACCAGCTAAGCAACGCAAGACATTGTATAGGGCAGATGCGCATTCAATACGCCATTCCGAATGGAAGTAGGGCGCAGGGTTGCGTCCCTCAGAAGCAAGTAATTAACACCAAAAAACTCTATCTTTTTTTTCTTCAACCTAATGCGAAGGTGGAGGGCATGAGCTGAACCCGAGCATCGCCTCACCCTTTTCTGTGTCGCACGCTTCACAACATCATCGTTTTTCTAACCGATGCGATGTAAGGTTCAAATAGAAACACTCCCATATTTGGCTATTTGATGCTTGCTATTGTTTTAGGTTCTGGTTGCTACATCCTTGCTCATTTTGATCATCAAGTAATTGAGATGTATTTTTTTCAGGGATTTACTTATTTTCAATTATTCTGTCACCATGGCTTCTACCCCTCATATCGGTCCATTAGGGATTGTATTAGGTTGATGCATAATTATTGCTGATTTTTTTCAGCAAATTTTACTTGACGAAACGATGGAAATATTCAGCGAAGACATGTTCAAATAATTGTTCCGGAACATATCCACCATCTATGTCGAGCACTGCTTCTCATTTGCTAGACAGTCGGGTTCCACAGGCGAAGAATTTTCGACTTTTGGAGGCGATCACGCCATGACGTTGGCCATCAAGCCATCAACTTCATCGAAAGTTTTGTTCGTTAACTAGTTTTTCAACGGTGTTCGGCAGATGAAACAACTGCATGATGGTCATCAGGAGTGGATAGCTGCTTAGAGACCCCAAAAGTTTTATTCACTGTTCTTCTTACAGTTATCAGTCCTTGTAGACATTTCCAATCCATTTCCTTGCAAACCATCTCTCGAATCTGTGTAACATCATGCAGGCCTTTGTTCAATGAGCAATAGTTTGATGCCTGATGCTGCTCCTTACAATTGGGTGGTACATTTTGTTAATTTATACCGAAAAATCACAAAATAATCAAAATATTTCTGTTCTGCGGTAACAGATAGATTTGTGGCTGGCACTAGAAATCACTTTTGATGCCCTGTGGGTTTCTTAAGAGCTACCACCCCTGAAATTTGTCCCCTCCTTA